TAGTAAAGATCTTATATCTATTGATGAGTAGGAAAATTTCATGATGTATAAGCTTGATAAAGTGCCAAGGGACATCTAAAAAAATAATCAAGAGCAAAAGAAATAGAAGAATGAAAAGCCTTGGAACTAAGAATAAATAGCCAAATCAAAGTAGTATCATTAAACAACAATAGCACTAGCTTAAAGAAATATTATTTTTAAGAAGTTTTAATCTAAATGCTCTAAATTAATTCCAAACTCAATTTGGTTTCAAAGCTTGGAATAATATTCTTGTATTTGGAATATAATCTAATATTATTAAAAAATTAGAGTTTTTTATTGTTATAATAATAAAAAAGGATACTAATATCTTAAATAAATTACTTTAAAAGTAGGAAATATACATCTTTTTCTTTTACAATTGTCAAGATGCTATGAAATCTATTTGAAAATTTATTATCAAAGTCTAAAAGAGTAATTTTGGCAAGTCAAGAGAAACAAAGAATAGAAGGCCAAGTTGAAGCAACAATAGTAACAAGTAAGTGGATTATTCATTACTCTAACTTAAGACTCAAATAATAACAATAGCAAATCCAACTTACCTCTTTTAAAAAAAAATACAGATAAAACTAAACACAATCATTGGGACCAACTAAGATAATAGAATCTTGATGGTGGTACAGTGATTCAAAAAATTGTTTTAATGTTGACATATTTTAGAAAGAATGGTATATTACAGATGAATTGTAGTAAATAATAATACATGGATTGTATAGAAAATAAAACACTCCTTTACAGCTACCAAATGAGCCTTGGTTGAAAAGAATCCATTAGATAATTGTGGAGCTATGACCAATCTACTTTGGAGTAGTATTGAAACAATTTTTTGAATGTGGTGTCTAATTTTTGGATTCTATCAATTACTTAATATTACAATATTATATCATCATAAGATTTATTATGACAATATTATTACTAATCTAATGACATCATTAATGATTATTAGCAACTATAAAATCACCATTCTTAATCACAATTCTTGGCTTAGACATATTTTAAATTTCCACATTTTAGAACCTTCTAGAATCCTCTACAAATTTTTTAGAATCTTTTAGATACTTATAGAATCTTTTATAATCTTTTAGAAAATTTTATAGGCTTTTACAAGCTTCTTTAGACTTTTAGAAAATTCTATAGAAAGTACCATAGACTTTTGTAACCTTCATTATAGTATAAATAGGAGTCTTTGGAATCAATTTTGTTATCAATATCATTCTTTATTTTTAATCTTGACATATTTCTTTATCAAATTCTTATGTCCTTGATAATTCCTTGAACAACTATGAGATTCATTCTCCACTCTCTCTAAGACATCACCTTTGTTTTTTTTTTATTCTCAAAAATCTTATGGCCAAATTACTTCTGAACTTGGCTATAATAAATCTATCTCTAAGCTAGCAAAAAGATCACTTTTAATAAGAAGAACCATAAATTACATAGACCAAAAAAGCTCACCTATAGTAGATGAAAAGACAATCATTTGCCAAATCAACACCAAAAAGATAGAAAATACTTTTGAAGTTTCTGAAAACCTTGAGAATATTATTACTAATCTTATGTCAATCCAAACCATTCAAAATATTCTCAAGAAATGGAATATGAAAGTCGTGGTGAAGAAAAAAAACCATTGCTATCTACTTACCATTGGAAACAACACTTGGATTTTGCTTTGAAGTACGAGGAATGGATTATAGAAGATTGGAAGAAGGTTATTTCGTCAAATGAGACAAAAATCAAAAAATTTGGATGAAATGGCACAAAGTAGGTGTGGAAACAAAATAATTAGTCCTTACTTGATAAGAAGATCCAAGAAACAATTAAACATGACGGTGAAAATATAATGGTATCAAGTTGTATAGAATAGAATAGAGTTGAGAAGATAGCAGAGATTGAAGAGAGGATGGATGCAAAGCAATTTGTGGAAATTCTTGAAAAAAACCTACTCCCTAACATTGAAAAATCTGTCATTTTTGAAGAAGAGGTGATTTTTCAGTAAGATAACGACCCCAAGCATAACTCAAAACTAGTATGGAAGTGATTTGATCATCATGGAATTAAAGTAATGGATTGGCTTGCTCAGTCTTTTAATCTTAATCCCATTGAATATCTTTGGGAGCACCTCAAATACCAGCTCAATACCTGAAAGATATAAATAAAGAGAATTTGGAAATTATGGAAAAAAAATAGCTATAGAATAGAATAATATTGAAGCAATTTTGTACCAAAATTTAATAGAAAGTATACCAAGGAAGTTAGAAGCAATTATCAAGGCTAAAGAAGGTCCTATAAAGTATTGATATATAATTGGATACCAAACTCAAAAAAAATGTTTTAATATTATTCCAAATTGGATTGGTCATAGCTCCATAATTACCCAATGGATTATTTTCAACCAAGACTCTTTTTGTAGTTGTAAAAGAGTACTTTATTTGCTATATAAATCATGTATCATTATTCACTACAATTCATCTACAATACACCATTCTTTCTAAAATATGTCAACATTGAAACAATTTTTTGAGTCACTATATTTAATTTATAAAGACATCATAGTTTGGAAAGTGCAATATTATAAATTGTGAGCTTCTTGAGAAAATTCAAGGTTGGTAAATCTAAATTATTATGATACTATAATCATGAAAAAAAAAAAAAAAAAAAAAAAAAAAAATATTGATGAAGGACAAAATGTAATGATATAAATGTTTTCTTCTTCAATCAAGCTCTTATATTTAAAAGTAGAGACAAAAAAGAAAAGAAATTATGAAGTCAGACCTTAGTTCTCTTTGGCTCAATAAAATATATCATTAATGGAACAAATATTGTGTCTCCTTTAGATGTATCAGCATTCCGATTGATACTAATTAAGATATCTTATCTCTGTAGATACATGCATGAGCAATAAGGATTATTGTTGGATTTATGGCCAAGCTTTAGCAATAACATATAGAAGCAATGAAACACATTGTAAAATATGTAAAGAAGACAATCAATTTTGGAATGTATTTCAAATGCTCTTTCAATCTTGCACTCAAAGGATTCACATTATACAAATTATTCTAATTGAATTGAGAGACTTGACACTCCACTGCTAAATAAGTATTCAAACTTGTCTTTGGACTAATTGTTTGGTCCAACCAACAATAGTCAATTGTTTTTGATACCACTATAGAAGCAAAATACAAGGCACTCTCAATAACTACCAAAGAAGTAGTTTATCTACAAAGGTTGCTCACTAAATTAAACATTTCATTTCCATCCAAATATATATATATATATATATATATATCTTATGTTGTCATTTGTAACAAGATGCCCTTGATCCCTCAACGAAACAACTCTAATGCAGTAAAACTAAGTGGATAAAAATCTCAGATTGAATCAGTATGATCGATGGATACGATTCAGTATCAAGACCAGTTCTATAGTGCTCGGCTTCATTTCTGATGAAGAATTCAAGCTATGGAGATTTCCAGGATAGTTTGTTAGATAATTTGTTCACAGTTGTGGAAACAAGAAGCAGAATCGAATTAGCCAAGCTTGTGAACCGAGGGTGACTGGTCGAGCAAAATAACTTGAACGCTGCTATGAAGAGTGGAATCTACTGAACCTGATTCAATCGAAGTATCAAGCTTGTAACCCTCAACCGCACTTGCATCAACATGCATTATCTCCACGTTTCTCTCTTCAATGCATTCTCACCAGCATAAAATTCTAGAGCCATATAAGAAAGCATCCTTTAGTTTAAAATGTCATTATTTGAGGTAAAATGTTCGGGTATCCGTGCCCATTCACATCCCCTTTTCGTTATTCAGCAGTTCTGAATGTTTTCTAAGAAGTTGAGAAACAATCCTGAGTTCGGATAAAAAGAAGTATGGACATGCTGCCTTTATTTGTAGAAATCTGCATGATTTTTCCCAGATTCTTTTACTGGTCAGTTTTGAGCTGCCATATTGTTTAGATCCCAGTCCGTCCACTCTAATTCTCAAAAACAAATCCCTAAATGCTGCAATTCACGTGATTTACAAGCCCAAATGGAAGTTTTTGAGCCAGCGCATTAGAAGATACCTGAATTAGTTCCAAAGCGTGACTGTGTCGTGGTACAAGGCAGACAGGAGATCTGCAGCTGGTAGGCAGAAGCCAAAGAAAAAGCATGAAGTCAGTGTGGTGAGAGGAAGTTGGTGGTGGAGGATATTTGGTTGGTGCCCACTGTGATGAACAATACCATTAACCTGGTAATAGTGGATGCTTCTGATAAATTGCACAAGACAAACATTCACAAAGTGGAAGTGAGATTTGAACCATGAATTTCAGAACAGCACCAACCACCACAAATACAAAAACTTGATCGTCTAACATGAAAATAGTTTAAATTTACCTTTCTCTTCTAGATTAGTCCAATCGGGGTTCGGTTGATTCATGTAGTGTGCGAAGTATGTTGTAAGATTTGTCACTCACAATCAGTGTGGGGTAGCACTAACATTGATCATACTTCTCGTGCCGTCCTCTAGGACGAGTCAAGCAAGAGAGGCTGGATCGGAGAGCATGGATTACTCGATAGGATTCATTGCAACAACTTCAGCTAGTGTGGTTAAATGACAAGGTGTGGAGAACTGCTAAGAGGAGGACTCACCTCTGAGTGAAAAGAGTTGATGGAATCTGACGTAAATCGTTTTTTACCGACCGATCGACATCTGCCGAACTAAAATCCAAGTTCTTTTGTGATATTTCTGCGTTCTTCACTGATGTTACGATCAACCGTGATAGAAAGCGTGGAATAGAAAAGTTAAGTTTTGAAAAGATCCTTAGCTTACACATGAACGCTCAGAATTAGTTCCTAGCTCTCATTTAAGAATTTTAACCTCCTCTGTTTAGTAATGTGGATGACTTTCGATTGTGACCCTTCACGAAAACTTGTTTGTCCGTCATTTAGTGAGGTTTGCTTCGATTAATTTGATGCAAGGAGAGTGGACATATAAATTCGTCGGGTGCCATTGGGTGGCATGACACTATGATTCGGTTTTGCATATGCTCTCACTTGATTTTGTTCCGGCATTTCCATCATCGGTGGATGTAGAGTCTGCAAGGAGATTTTCAACATGGGGGACAACGATTACAGAGAAAGGCAAGGATCAGATCATAGTAATGACTTTAAGTCAAGCAAAGCCAAGTGGAAATTCGTGTGTGTGTTAATCGTGCTGCAAACCAGGCTCCTGTACACCTGCGCTGCCAAGATTTACAGTGGTGAGTTTTCGAACTCAAATGTTGAATCCGAAAGAAAAAGAAGAATTCGTGGCAACTGGATTGAAAATACGTTAGAGAATTTGTGGAAGTTTGCAAATGAAGTCTACAATCTCCATTGTCGAATAGACTGAGTTGTGTGTGTCTGTGTGTGTGAGAGAGACAAACAGACCCCAACTACTCGTTCGTGCTGAATGCCACGGAAGCGCCACTCCTGGGCCGCAACTACGATTACATTATAGTCGGAGGAGGAACAGCAGGATGCCCCTTGGCGGCGACTCTTTCACAGAACTTCTCGGTGCTGCTCTTGGAACGAGGAGGTAAGAATGATACCAAACCCAGGGAAGTCATTCTTAAGCCGAAAAATCGGGGCATGGTACAATTGAGCTCATCACATCCATTTCAGCTCTCAGAGTGACGATTAATGATTGATTCCTATTTCGTGTTATTATTTGTGTTGCAGGCCAGCCATACCAAAATGACCTTGTGGAGAATCTCGTAGGCTTCTATCCAAATTTGCAGCTCGACACTAGCACCTCCGCGTCGCAGTCATTCACCTCTGAAGATGGAGTACCTAACCAGCGTGCTCGTGTCCTCGGAGGCGGTAGTGCCGTCAATGCCGGCTTCTTTACGTTTGCGGATCCTCAATTTGTTGCCGAGATGAACTGGGATGTCATCCTAGTAAACGAATCGTTTACATGGGTTGCGGATGAAGTTGCGCAAATTCCAACTATACAAGTTTTCCAAGTGAGCAGTCCTAATTATAAAACAAAATCGAGATACATAATGAAAATATCTGTAGAACAAATCACAATGCTGGCTCTATCATTCTCTTTTTCCATGCTTTGCTCTCACAATTCTTCCGTGCCAGAGCGCTGCAAGAGACGCATTGCTTGAGGCTGGCGTGACCCCCTTCAACGGCGAGACATATGATCACTTGATCGGCACAAAGGTTGGAGGATCCCTATTCGACAGCAATGACCGCCGCCACACTGCTGCTGACCTTCTCACCTATGCCAACCCCGATAATCTCGATGTCTACATTTGGGCCAGCGCTCAACGGCTGGTCTTCGCAACTGGAGTGGGTAAGTCAAAATGCGTCTCCAGGCCTGCAAGCAGTGCCATTCCACTCTTACTTCGCTGGCTGATCGATTTTTCGGTAACTGACAGGACCGAACGGCGATAGGCAACCGAGGGCAATTGGCGTGGAGTACACAGATTTGGAAGGCTACAGCCACACAGTTCTACTGAATGACAATCCTGGCAGCGAGGTGATCCTCACAGCAGGTGCATTAGGTAGCCCAGTGCTGCTCATGCTGAGCGGCATAGGCCCAGCCGATCACCTCGCCGACTTTAACATTGCCGCCATCCTTGACAACCCCGCTGTCGGGTCGCGCATGGCGGACAATCCTACGAACTCCATGTGGGTACTCACCAACCAGGAGGTGGAAGTCACACTGATCCAGGTAGTGGGGATCACAAGCTGGGGGAGCTACATCGAAATCTCGAGTGGCCAATCGGAGGCTCTAATCGGAGCATTCGAAAGCACCCCTCTGTCCACCACATCAAGCAGGAGCAACAAGCTCAACAATAGCACCGTCACTGCAACTTCCTTGCAAGACACAATTACTGCCGCCATTCGCGAGGTACCGGAGCAGTTTCGATATCAAGCAGTGTGGGGTGGCACCATCCTGCAGAAAATCTGGGGGCCTTTGTCGAGGGGGCTGCTTCGACTCTCGAGCTTGAACGCTGTTGACAATCCCCGTGTCTGGTTTAACTACTTCCAGGAGCAGGTCGACTTGGCCATATGTGAGCAGGGCATCCGTGCGGTGCTAGATACGTTAGCATCGCCCTCTCTGGCTAGGCTGCAGTATACGAACGATACCATTCCTTTCATCCTGCAGCCTGTGAACGACGCCGTGGTAGGTGCTCGGCCGCAGCGGGACCTATCAAATTCCACCCAGGACACGATCAACATTCGGCAGTGGTGCATGGATAGCGTCATGACGATTTGGCATTACCACGGCGGGTGCGTAGTTGACGACGTGGTCCGGCGGGACTACCGCGTCATAGGGACGCAGTCGCTGCGTGTGATAGATGGGTCCACGTTCGCACGATCACCCGGGGCGAATCCTCAAGCCACTGTGATGATGTTGGGAAGGTGAGGCCTCGATCATCTGCAATCGACCTTCAATCGTCGCTAATTTTACAGCGGAATGGGAACTAAACCTTGTATTTTTTGAGTAAATCTCTTAGCTTGATGCACACTTCATGTGGCTGATCATGAGGCTATTTGTGGATTCACCGATTGGAGTAGGGCACTGTGGATGGTCAACTCCTATCTTGACTATGGCCACCTTATGAAGCTCAAGGTCAATCTAAAGCATTCAAAAGAACAACGAAGCTTTCAATTCAAGAAACCAAATTTGGTGGCTCACGATCTTCCTGTGCAGGTACATGGGGGTACAAATTCTTCGCGAGAGGCTTGGCTCTGAAGCCGGGGTTTAATTCCACTACTATTGTGGAGTACCCCACAACGCATCAGAGTATGAGGTTTAGCCTTCCCGGGAACACCAAGCGTCAAGTAATGCGGGCTCCACAAGTCAGGATGAATCAGTTGAATGTGAGTTCGATCAACACCCAGATCTGACCACATATTATGTAAAAAACATGTCGTTGGTGAACACAATGCACAATGCGTCAGATCCTTGGGTATTCAACCATTGAGGCCCATGGGTGTGACTACAATTTCACCTTCGAGGGTAGCAAGTTTTTGAAGTATTTCCCCCACTTAAGTTTCAGGAGAGGTAACTAGATATTTGTAATCATCTCCATTATGGAAATGAATTCATCCCTCGGGTTGCGTTACTGGAGTTGCTAAATCTAGTGATTTCCGGAGTATTCATGCACTATTTCAGCATCAACTCAGTCACTAACTTTCATACAGAAGTGCACAATGAACTTCTGAACAAAGACTAACACCTACACACTTCGAGGATTAGGCATGTGAATAGTGATCCAAAAGCAAAACCCATCACCAGACCCCATTGGGGAAAATGCAAAAGCCAACACGACGACGTAATTAGCCACGACGTCAATCGTGATGCTCTCCTAAAACTAGACTTCCTGCTATGGGCACTAGCACACTGGAACATACGAGATATAGGTGCATCATCTGGAAGACCACTAGGACATGCGAAAATTCTTCGTTCGCAGCCGCTGATTACTCGATTGCCGGAGTCAAGGCATGGATATGGCCTGACCGGGTCCTATGCGGCCCCAACCAACCCATAAGAACTAATCCTTAGGATCCAGATTCTGCGACGAAAACATAAACAAAGCTGGGCTATGGAGCAGTGGCCGATAAGAGTTGACTTCATAGTATCAATTTTTCTATCAGAAGCAGAATCAGTCTGCAAGATTCGTATCCTTCTCACACTTGTGAAGCTCGCTTAGAAAATTGTTCTCCTTATCTTCTGCATGCCCTCCAAAAATTGCTCAGCATATTGTGGACATTAAGAAGGAACTGAGACGGATTGTAGTACAGTGTGTGCAACTAATAATAAATTGCTCAAATGTTCACGGTGTTGAGCTTTGTGTACTGTTCTATACGTGATATGGAAGCAAATTCTTGCACAGCTCAATGGATAGAACATTTTTAAATATAAACTTTTATAAGTGGAGTTTGAAATAGAAATTCATGGCTTTCAATAGGTTTATAACAAGGTATTAAATTAACTTGGAGACTTTAGATGTGTCTATACACATTTTATGTAAAAACTCTGTGATACGAATATGAGTTGAAATGCTTTTATTAGTTACCTAGCTGAATATGAGCAATTGAGTAACCTATTTAATTTAATTTAATTTTTTTATGTTCGTATCTTGAGTTTTTTTTCTGATCTATATGTGTATCAAAAGCTTTATATATAGAGAGAGTGATTTGATAAGGAATGTCCACATTAATGTGATTCCTTAAGTAATATTTGTTGCACATAAAGTATGCAGTATTATTTTTTGATTTAAAACCATCAGAACATACAATTTGTATCTTGATTTTTTGTGTCTTTTCAGAATTTTCATGGCTAATACATAACAAATTTAAAATATAAAAAGAAAAAGTCACATAAATCTTGTAACTACTTAAAAACATCAAACTCAAACATTATTTGAAACAGGTAATGCACCTAGAATCTGGGATTGTAGGGTTGTTTGAAATTAAATGAAAACAATGTGAGTCACGTCTTGCACATGTAAGTGATTGAAACGTCCAAAGAATCTGCATGTATGCTAAAAAAACTGTCATTGTTGACTAGTATCAGAATAAGGAATGTCAAATTATATAAAAAAAAATAAATGCTCAACTTCTAAAACACTTCACCTTCCAAACATTGGACTTTACATAGTGGACCATTGGACTTTTCACTACACATGTGCAAACATAACACTTAAAATAGTAGGCTAAATCTTTTCAATACACCATTGCTCACTTATCCACCACCCAGAACCTAAGCCCTACACTGAGATGGATCGTCATGAGCTGGAAGTGTGGAGGTATCAGGAACCAAACAATGTCATGGGAGGCAACAGCTCGAAGACCATTGTCAGAGGAGTTCAAGCATGCAGAGGTACATAGCAGGGCCCCAATGGCGACGTTTATTCTGCTCGGTATTGGCTTTGATAACTATGCTTGTGAAACGGGCACCAACGCTGTGTGCATGAAAGAGCCCATCAAACATTTCGTCAAGTCTTTTCAAGTAAAACATACATGCTTAGATCGTCAACCATCACATTCGTATTGCAAGTTCATATCCACTAACCTCTGCTATTGTAAATGTCTACGAAGGGACTACTTTCACCCACACCACTTCAAGCTCATCTGCTCCACAACCGGCGCTTCAGTTCACCGTCCACATCAAATCTCAACAGTTCTTGCATACGTCGCCGTGTTTGCAACGCTTCACCTCAAAAATGGTAGCCTCGTTTCCTGATGTCATCACATAATCAAGGATGACACGAGAGGCCTGAAAGACAACAAGAAATCAGTTTAAGATTAGAGTACATTGAAGCACACCAAAATCATCAGCGAACGATGTGAAGATAACAAAAATAAACAAATAATAAATATGAAAAACTTTATCAATGCCCCAGTAGATACTCGTCAACGATAGCCAATTTCCTACAGATGGTTAACATTTTTCAATCCTGCAAAGAGAAGCCAAATCTGAAGAGGTTGTATCCACCTTGTCCTTGCTGCCAAGGCTGTATGTCTCCACAAGGCTTTGTAAATACTTGTCATGCTGCAATTCACACCCTCATGCGTGTCAGCAGTTGGTAAAAACACGATATTCTATCCAAGAACATGATGTGGTAAAGACACGATAAAGACATTTTTGGTCTGAATATTCCCCAAAATTTAACTTAACAAACTTACCACATCGTCGATTTCTTGACTGCTCTCAACAAGATCCTCGTTATCAGCAATTATGCTCGGCACCTAATATCACCATAAAAAATAAAAATAGGTTACTTATTTTCTTCACCGTGTTACTGTGTTTTTCGAAGCCAGGTCATTTCAACTGCAGTCACAGAAAGACTAGCTCAGAATTTTACATCTCTGAAATTACTCTAAAATGTTCATAGAAGACAAAGGAATCGTTACGAGGCCTACTACCAATATCTGGTAAAACGGAGAAATATTCCAACCTTAGCAAAAACGGCTGCATCCTCACCAGCTTGTTTAGTATAAGTGAAGCAGATGCGGAGGGCTTTACCTGTCGATCAAAAGGACAGGAAACATTTGAGCCTCGCCATTGCAATAGTTAGTAGTTTGCATGAGGGGATAACTTCAATCGTTTGTGCTCATTGTAGTTACATAAATCGTGCGATTGTACTTCTAGCACACCCCAGCGTGCAAAGAGATAGAATGAGTAGCCATTATTCAAATGACGATTTGAGGAGGTCATGCAGAGATTAGTGCAGGAAATGACAATGTACCCGCGGATGGCAAATTGTACTTCTTCACCATCTCTTCCAGCCAGGCAAGCTGTTTCTTTTCCAAATGAAGAGACAGTGTCACCTTTTGAGCCATTGCACCTGTATCCAGAGCAACCAGAGGAATTAACTAAAACCCTAAAATTATACCTCCACAGGCAAAGAACATATCCCAATCATGAAAAGAACACATACCCACGTCTTCTTTGAAACACACACCTGTGCCACAAACTCCATGACCCCGACTATTCAACACCCTGTCCTCTAGTAATTCGTGACGAGAAGCTCACTATGCAGCTCAGAATACCCAAAAGCACCCATAGACCCAAATCGACAAAATTTTGTCACAGATTTCCCTGACAATTACAAGTCAGAAACACGCAAATCTCACAATCGACAAACCTCTATCCACTCGGAAATCGATTCCTGCGCACAAACTCTAAAGCAACCTACCAATTCCGTATACATCAACAACCTAGGAAACCCCAGTGCTCATCTCAGCAGCAATTACAATCCAGCCCACTTGATTACACAACTTCGTCAGCTTACGATTGCATAAATCTCAAACAAGAGTCTCAAAACATGATTCCTGGCCTTGAAAGAAAACAACCACCAAGTGCAGAAGATGCGATCCTGAAACTATTCCGAACCAAATCAACTTCGGACAAGAAGACCCACACAAGCTTATTGATGAGATGGAAGAGGGGAGCAGATGAGCACTTGCCTTGCACGATGGATTCCAACGTGAAGGATTACCGGAGGAATTGCACAACACAAACCAATTGTGGGCACAACTCTGCGATGTGAGCAGTCACTGGTGCAGCCCAGGTCTACAAGCACTATGCCGCGAGCGGCGTCACACTTTCTACTTATACCTTTTTTTTGAGTTTCCTGTGCATGTTTGTGTGGTTTGTTTTTGTTTTGTTTTTGTTGAGAATGTTTAGAAAGAGTAATACTAAGTAATACACACACAAGAGTAGTAGTTGTAAGTCATACACACAAGACGGTTTCTAAAGAAAGAGAGCTTCTTATCTAAAAATCTATTGATGTGGTTGTGTCTAGTATACAAGAAGAGAAAGGGGAGAGGATTCTCCACTAGACTTTAAATACTGTAGCTATGGTATTTACTGTAGTCTATAGTAAATATTATGGAGAGCACTAATTACATTTAATGATCTCAACACTCCTCCTCGCTCATCATAATATTTACATAATATAAAATTTGTATAGAATTATGATCTATACTTTTTTGTGATCTTGCAAGATCAATAATTGTTGCCTCATTAAAACCTTATCTAGGAAAACCTTATTGTATTTAAGGACAAAACCATAGATGAAGGAAAAAGAATACAACAACATTTTCTTTAATTATTTAAAGAGCTCATTAACTTTCTTATTCAAGAAAAGCAAGTCGCCGCATACAAATGCCATAAGTAAGTCGACGATGGTTGCACAATGGGAGAGCTTTGGTGAAGAGATCACCAAGGTTATTTGTAGATTCAATTTTCTTAATTATAAGTGCTTGATTAGTAATCAAGTCATAGGTATAACTAAAATACTTTAGATCAATATGCTTTGTCTTGTTGCCTTTAATGAAACCAACTTGCATTTGTGCAATATAAGCACTATTATCTTCATGTAAGATAGTTGGAGAATCATCATATGAAAATCCACATATTGTTTGAATGAATTTATCAATTGATCACAACCAAATACATTCTCGAGATGCTTCATGTAAGGCAATAATTTTTGCATGGTTGGATGAAGTTGTAGTTATTGTTTGTTTCACTGATTTCCATGATATTGCAACTCCATGTCTTAAAAATACATATCCTGATTGAAATTTAGTTGTTGCAGTATTAGATTTATATCCTTTATCACAATATCCAACCAACTTTGGATGTGCAGATTGTGTGTAGTATAATCCCAAGTCTTCAGTATCTTTTAAATAATGTAATAAATGTTTGATGTCATTCCAATGTTGTAGTGTTGGACGTATACTATGACTTGTAAGAACACTAACTACAAATGCAATAGCTAGTCTTGTAGATGTAGCTAAATACAAAAGTGTTTGAACCGCTGCGAGGTATGGATATTGTTCTTCCAATATTTCCTCCTCCTCCTTGCATGGATGGTATGGATCATAACCATCACGACCATGTCCAACCATTGGTGTGGACAATGGATAAGCATCAATCATATTAAATCTTCGCAAGATTCGTCTAATATACATTAGTTGGTAGAGAAAAATACTACCATTTGTTAGATGCATAATCTGAAGACCAATGTAGAAAGTTGTTTTTCCTAACATTTTCATATCAAATTCACGTATAAATAAGTTAATAGCTGTAACACATGCAGATGTAGTTTCCACTAGTTAAGATCATCAACATATATAGCGATGATCACAAAACTAGTTTTATCTCATTTGATAAATAAACAAGAAATTAGTGGATTACTTACAAAATTATTTGTAATTAAATAATCTCAAAGACGTTGATACCACATGCATCCAGATTGTTTTAAACCATACAAGGCCTTACATAATTTAATACCACCATATTGTCTTGGAGCAAGTCGATTTGAAGTTCTTATTTCTAACTCAAGTGGAACTTTCATATAAATATTTATATCAAAAGAATCATATAGATATGCAGTTACTACATCCATCAGATGCATCTCAAGGGTGGCATGAACTATCATTCTAATAATATGTCAAAATGTAATTGAATCCATGATTGGAGAATGTATGGATTCATAATCAATGCCAAATCTTTGAGTAAATCCTTGAGTAATAAGACAAGCTATATAGCAGGTTATTTGACCTTGAGCATCTCGCTTGCATATTAATACCATATTATATCCCACAAGGCGAGATGTAAGAGTGTCTATAATTGGACCAAAGACTTTCTTCTTATGCAAAGAGGCATACTCCTCCTGAATAGCAGTTTTCCATTTTGACCAATCAGAGCAACATATCGCCTCCTCAATGGTTTGAAGTTTAAGATCATCTTCCTTGCAAGAAAGGGCTTCTATAATCATATATGCAAATGATTCATTTACCATAATAGATGGTCTATCCCAAATATCATGTGTAGCACAATACAAAATAGATAATTCTTTACTTAATTTGTTCTTATTCCTTCCAATTCGAAGATTGTTTTTCATAGGAATTGAAGGTACATTATGCATGGATATATCAACATGAATTGGTAGTCCCACAAGATGAGTGGCAATTTCTTGAGAAATAATACCACGATTAATCAATTTTATAGCTTTCTTCTTACGTAGTTGCTTATCTTGTCCACAAGTTCTTTTATTTGTTGTTGTTATAACTTGAGGTATTGTAGTCAATGGCACTGCATTCTTAGCAAGTGCATTTTGAGCCTCATTAATAGGAACTCTTGTAATTCTAAATGCATCATTGAAGCCATCAGGTATTTTATCTGCGATCTGTTTTAGATGCAAAATCTTAGCAACTTTAGTTTCTGCCAAAGATGTCCTAGGATTAAGATTCATTGTAAATATTTTTGATGCTTCAAATATGAGTAATTTAATTCTTTGTTGATTGGATACTCCTCCTTAAAAAGTTGAGAATTTATTTTCTTCAAAATGGCAATTTTACAAACATGCACGTAATAATGTGTCAGTTGATGGATCAACAATATGAATAATGCTTAGTGAATCAAAACCAACATATACGCCTTCTTATCAATGAGCTTGAAGGGTACGCCCTTGAGGTTCTGGTATTGGAATCCAAGCACGGCAACCAAATACTCATAAGTGAGGTATATTTGGAACACAATCCAAAATGAGCTCATGTAGTGAAACAATTTCAAGAGAAGAAGGGTGAAGGCATATTAATGCTGTAGCATGTAAAATTGCATGATTCCACACAGATGAAGATAAATTTGTATGAAGGAGGAGTGACTAATTTCTTATTTTCTTGGAACATTTTAATAATTTTTTTTTTTTTATTTATTTTTTTAGAAGAGATTGTAGATTAAGGTAGTAGAATAGTAGTAGAACGGTGTTAGGGACATATTCTTTAGAACTTTTTAGAGAGAAGTTTCTAGAACCTTCTAGAAAACAAGCCTCTGGAACCTTCTAGAAGAGAAGCCTCTGGAACCTTTTAGAGAGAAGTTTCTAGAAGCTTCTAGAAAGGAATCCCCTGGAACTTTTTAGAAGCTTCTTAGTTAATAAAAGTAGCTCGAGAAGTTTCTAAAACCTTCTAAAAAGGAAGCCTCTGGAACCTTCTAGAAGCTTCCTAGTTAATAGAAGTAGCTCGAGAAGCTTCCTAAGTAGGAGTATATATAGGGATCGAGGCTGAAGAGTTCTTCAGTCTCGACAACACATCTCTTGGAGTTCTAGCTCACCTTTCTGGTGTTGTTCTTGTACTCATCTGTTTAATCTAGTTCTGCCACTTCTTCTTGAACTTCTTGTTAGATTTCAAGTCTGTATTTTGTGTCCGTGACAGTTTGTCAAGACTACACTAACTTGAGATATCAGAGCTAGTTCTTTCTTAGTAGAGTGTAGATTACCCCTCTACTTGAAGGTATACTAGCATTTTTTAGAGGTTGCGGATTACCCTCCTCTAAACTGATACTTCTTCTGTTACAATATTGGAGTCTTATTCTTCTTGGAGAGAGTGGATTACCCCTCTTCTTGAAATTCTTAAGGCGTTTTATAGGTTGTGGATTACCCTCCTATAAACCAATATTGCCTCTTATAGGGTCATTTTTGTCCTTCTTTTAGAATGGCCGGAGGTCAAGACATTAGTATGACAGAAAGTTCGGAGTCTAAGTTAGATGCTATTATGAATGCCCTCGCTACGTTATCACAAAGAACTGCAGAGATTGAAGGAGTGGTGGCAAGGCTTCATAATGATGGAGTATCTGGGATAGTACAATCTAAACTACACCAGCCTCAAATTTCGGCACTTGGAGAAACAACTTTACCTCAAGTTCGATAAGAACCACTAGTTCTACAACATAAGGAGCCTCGAGTTAGCCTTCCAGATAAGTTTGATGGAACACGTTCCAAGTTTCGAGGATTTGTCAATCAAATTAGGTTGATAACAGTTTTACAGCCCGAACGATATCCAATGGAGGAATCATGTGTTGGGCTTGTTGGAACCTTACTTACGGGTCAAGCTCTATCATGGTTTGCTCCTTTGTTTGAGAAATGATCATCCATATTAAACAACTTCGAAACCTTTTTGGAAGCATTTGCGGAAGCATTTGGTAAACACGATAAGGTTCGATGGGCTACAACAAAGATCCGGTCGCTACGATAAGGAATGCGTTCTACATCAGTCTATGCTTCGGGTTTCAGGCAATTAGTATGCGACATGAATTGGGATGAAGAAGCGTTGATGAGTCAATTCTATTGGGATTTAAGAGATGATGTGAAGGATTTGCTGTTAACTCTTCCTGATCCACGAACGCTCAATGAAGCCATTAGCCAAGCTGTGAAGTGCAATAATCGCCTATTCCAACGTTGCCAAGACCAACGTTCAAGACAACATACAATTCGCCATGCTCCAACTATGTCGGCAAGCAAGGTGAATTCGCATTCAGAGGTGGAAGACATACAAATTGATGCGGTACGTATCAAATCTCTTACTATAGAAGAAAAAAAGTGACGTATGGAGGAAAATTTATGCTTGTATTGTGGTGGAGAAGGCCACAAAGTCGAAAACTGCCCCAAAAAGCAAAATCGAGGCATAGTCAAGACTAGGGGAGTATTTGTTCAGGAAAACGAGGATGCCCAGCCACAGTAGGAACCGTGTGGCTGGACAATGAAATATCCCAACAACAATCAGGTTCCTTTCTTTCTGCCCAACCTGCACTTTGTTTTACAATCCTTCTGTTTATCG